TCAACATGCATTTATGTTCAAAGTCCTAGAGGGAATTGGACTGGAGGGAACATACAGCAACATAATTAAAGATATATATAACAAACCCACAGCCAACATCGTTCTAAATGGAGAAAAACTGGAAGCATTCCCATTGAAATCGGGAACGAGAGAAGGCTGTCCACTATCTCCACTTCTCTTTAACATAGTGCTTGAAACTCTTGCAAGAGCAATAAGACAAGAGCAGGAAATTAAAGGAGTAGTAATTGGAAAAGAAGAGATCAAATTATCCCTTTTTGCAGAAGATATGATATGATTTCTAAGAGACACCAAAAATTCAAGCAGAAAACTACTAGAAATTATAAACATATTCAGTAAAGTGGCAGGTTACAAAACACTCCCCTTCACAATAGCTACAAAAAAAATATCACAGAATAAACCTGACCAAAGACATTAAAGAGCTCTACAATGAAAAATTTAAATCTTTAAAGAAAGAGGAAGACATCAGAAGATGGAAGGACCTCCCATGCTCATGGATTGGAAGAATACTGTGAAAATGATCATCCTACCAAAGTCATTTATAGATTCCGTGCAATGCCAGTCAAAATCCCCATGACATTTTTCACAGAATTGGAAAAAATCCTAAGATTCATATAGAAGCATAAAAGACCTCAGATAGCCAAAACAATGCTGAGAACAAGGAGCAATACCAGGGGGATTACTATACCAGATTTCAATTTGTATTACAGAGCTATAGTCATAAAAACAACATAGTACTGGCACAAAAACAGACCCATAGATCAATGAAACAAAATTGAAAACCCAAATATGAGTAAATGCAATTTCAGCCACCTGATATTTGATAAAAGGGCCAAGGACATTCACTGGAGGAAAGACAGCATGTTCAGCAAATGGTGCTGGCAAAACTGGATCTCCACCTGCAGAAGGATGAAACTAAACCCCTATCTTTCACCCTGCAAAAAGTCAATTCCAAATGGCTCAAAGACCTCAATGTAAAGTCTGAAACTCTGAATCTGTTAGAAGAAAACATTCAGAAAAACCTACAAGATATGGGAGTAGGAAAGGATTTTCTAAACCGGACGTCAATTGCTCAGGAAACTGGCAAGAATTAACAAATGGGACCTCATTAAGCTAAAAACCTTCTGTACATCAAAGGAGGCAACCAGGGAAGCGAACAGAAAACCCACAGGATGGTAGAAATTTTTCACCATCAACACATCGGAGAGAGGTTTAATATCCAGAATATATAACGAACTCAAAAAACAGAGAATCAAGACAAGAGGGAACACAGTTAAAAGATGGGCTAAGGAGCTGAACAGAGAGTTCTCAAAAGAAGAAGTAAAGATGGCGC